CATGTTTTGTATGGAAGATGAGATCGCTTGATATGCTACGTTCAGTATGCATAATATCAGCAATTTTACAAGGAAACGCCACTCACACGCGCTCGAATTTCGGCCGAAAGTGAATGCAACAAAATTTGGATTTTGAATGCGGTTATCTGAAGCTCAGTAACTTTATAATAGATGATGTAGGAAGCCCTATTCAATATTATCAGATAGAGCATGAAAATAGCTTCTCAATGGTATGCCAGGTATATTTCAAAGAAGATATCTTGGTGGGAGAAAGTTGTCCTGAAAAAAGGCTTGGAAAATCGGCCATTATTTTTGCATCAACCTAATTTACATGATTTTAACATCCTCGGCAACCAGGACTTCTGTTTTTTAAAGTAAAGGTGTGTTCTCTCATGGCGCTGAAAGTGAAGGTCACCAGAGTACAAGGCTCTACATATCGAGTGTATGTTTGGAGCTCACGTCCAAGCACTGTGTCACCCAAAGCTTTGCGAGATCAATTTCAATAATATGGAGGGCAAACCACAAAAGACATGGATCAGGTTTTGTACTGACCTCATACAGTGACGAAATCGATTGAAAAGCTTTATTGAAAGTTCAAACGTATTCAACCACTGAAGCCTTGAGTGCACGTGGTACTACCTACCACTGCAAGCCAGGCAGAATTCACAATCATTTTACTGCAGTGAGACAACTTTGATATTTTTTTCCTTTAAGTTCCGGTATCATTATTATAGGGCTTTTACAAAATCCTAACAGATATTCGACCGCAATCTTCACTTCCACCCGATGTCACAAAAGCGTAAAAACTCAAACAATAAGCATCACTCTAGTGTTTATTATTAGCTCAGTTACATTCCAAATCTGAGGTGCGCCACCGCTCACATCTCGTGATTGATTTATGCATACTTAGCGCAAAAGTCGCTTGTATTTTTTGTTCACTGCATGTAATGTTTACCTATGTAATTGAATCAGTACATAATGAATTTGCTGTAAAAGAACAAATTACCAGTTAGCAACGCTCTGAACCTATCTTGGATAGTGATAACAAGAAGCAAAGTGTTGTTTTGTATCTCCAAAAGATGCTCGCGTCAGAGATAACTACAGCTTAATGGTTCAAGCCTAAGCCATATAGTAAATCTCGCAAGACTCAAGTTTGAAATATTTCATTTCGAGGAATTTCTGTAGTAAAAAGCTTTTGTGCGACTTGTTCGCTCTTTGTTAACAACACAATTCTGTAAATAGTCGAGACTATATTAATCCATCAAATATGAGCAGAAAGGGTATTAAACATGAATTTTGAGCAAGAAATCTCTTATAACCGTCCAACTATTCTTATCACATATTGAAGAAGAAACTTTCAAGCGAATTTCTCATCACCAATCGTTATGCACATCCATGTGTACAATGTTTCAGAAAACCATTATACCAATGCAAACATCCTGGTTTTGGAGAAGCGTGCTTGCGTGCATGATAATCTTTCATTGTATTCTAATTTTACGCCACTATGATTGGCGTGTGTTCGATGTCAGAACAGCGCCGAGAAAATTTGTTGGTTTCAATCTCAACTGGGGTCGTCTAGGGAATCAGGTGAGCCCGCTTTTGATTCACGCAGTTGTACTCGCCTTTTTATACTACCTGAATCACAGTTGGCTGTATGGTGGATATCCTGAGTGCTTCAAAATATCTCAGCAGCTTAAGACAAATCCAGTATTAGCGTTAAAGGCAGCGTCCAGGCAAGTTTGGACACATGGAGATACTACGCGGATAGTATTATACTTTTAGGGCCCGAACTAAGCCACTGCCCGACCGGCAGTTCAGGTAGTGCTCTAACGGCTGAGATATTCTCTTCGAAACTGGACCCCGCGATCGTATCTCGCATAGATTCATGGCGCAAAGCGTGGATCCTGGCGTGAAACTGCCATGAATCCATGCGAATACGATCGCGGGGTTCAGTTTCGAGGGGAATATCTCAGCCGTTAGAGCACTACCTGCGCTCCCGCTTGGGCAGTGCCTTAGTTAAGGCCCTGGTACTTTCCATGTAAAAACCCCATAGGTGCAGATTTGCCTGGACGCTGCCTTTAAAGGCACCGTCCACCCAAAATTGAGGTTGGCGAGATTATGACGGCATACCAGTGTGCGCCCCCATACAAAACAAACCTCCAAGTTTCGCCGCAAAAGACTGCTTTTGGAGCGAGAAATCCGCTCCGGAACTAGCAAAGTAGGCGGGACGACTAGGGTCGCCCCTCCCACTTGCATGCTCTATCTCGCCTGCGCTTGTTGCAGAGGGTTCTCGAAACAGGGATTTTTGGGGGTTTCGCGGATTTTCGATTCCATATTCGGAATCAGGGCTTTCAGAAGGCCTGAAGGCGACAAAAGCATTGGATTCGAGATTTTGGGTGGACGGTGTCTTTAAGCTTCCAACGACCCTAGTTTCCTGTGTATAAGGGATGCACGAGGCCCACCTGTTGCTTGCCATCGTCCAATTGTTCTTTGTCAGCGGGGCTCTAAACCAGCAACTTGAGTATAGCGCAGTTTCTGACTGCTTTATCAAAGCTAGATAATAGAATAAAAAAGATGCTGAAACGGTTGATCAAATAAGGTTCCCTGCTGCTCGAGAAAGGATATGGTGTCTAGCAAAAATTAAGCGAAGTATCTGGTAGTTGTTAGCTGCCTATATCTTCCGCTCAGTAGCTTCATTGCATTTTACTCCGCAGTTGTCGTTATTAAATGAGCCTTACGCACCGAAAAAGGGTAGATTCAACAATATTGTATTCAAACGTCACGCAGTTACGAAAAATCATACGCGCAACAAAAAATACTAATGCTTCTCCTTTTCGCTTTCGATTATGATGAGAAGCGTGAAACAGGTTGAGTTGCGCAGAAACGTCTAATAAAAACAATTCCTTTCACTTACATCAATCGTTAAATAGTTTATTTACTTTTCGCTGCCGATTATTTGAGGCTTGTTGGCCGTAACTTTAAAAAGCCCCGAAAAGGGAAACGGAAGAAATTCTAAACAGCCAGGGTTGAAACCATGAAAAGCTAGGAGCGTACTGGAGAATTTAATCATATTCTGTAGAGATATTTTGCAAAGCAATCAGTAACGTTCAGTTTACGCAGGTCAAAGTCGGAAGCCAACTATTCTGATGAAAGGATTGAGGGTTTCATCGACAAAATATATCAAGAATATAGTAAAAAGAACAGCGAATGGAAGGTAACCGCAAGGATCTCATAGCCACTAATGACCGCATGTATTAACATCCTCGCTGGAGAGGAGATCGTAGCTCAAAATAAAGCTTCATATTCTGAAGCGCCAGATATCTGGATCTTAATTGTGTACTTAACCGTAAGCAATCCTACAGTCTTCCACTATGAACTGAACACCAGCGAGAAGCTGTACGAGCCACATTTTCCAATTTTTTATCCCCTGGCGCTTCTCTTCAAAGTCAGTTTTTTTCTTTCTTTGAATTTGGCAAAAACCTTCCAGAGTTTTACTGATTATCTAGCACATCAGTGCTAAGCATGTTACTGGTGTAAACAAATAACTTTTTGAAAAGTCGAATTTTTCTATAAACCCCAACTCTCGACTTGTTGTTTATCGCAAATTCCATGACTCCTATACATCGCTTGTTCTTATCAGTAACACGCTAAGCACTGTTGGGTTAGATAATTTACAACTTTTGAAGCTTTTCGTTAACTTTGGAGAGAGAAATGTCTCTAAATAAAAGTGCCGGGGATCGTCAGGGATCATAGAAAAGCTAGGATAAGCGATTCGTACAGCTTCTTGCCGCTATTCAATGTGTTCATAGAGAAGGATAGTAGGAATACTAATAGGTACAAACGTGAATTCCAGATATCTGAAGCCTCAGAATATGAAGCTTTTTTAGATTGCGATCCCCTTCCCTCGGGGATGTCAATGTGTAAGACCCTAAAAGAAGTGTTTGGAGAGATTTGCTATAAGAAAGGAGCGGAGAACAGCGAGTGTGTTCAACAACACCCCGATGTAAGTCCTTTTTGAAGAAAAGGAATAGTGTGGAAAAGAAAATACACCATTGTATGAAAGTGCGCAAATGATGCTACACATATAACACGTAGGCAAGATAGCGAGAAGGAAGCGGTTTTTCAGGATCTCACGAAGGTTTTGTCAGAGCCCCTTACATTACGAATCGAGACTCATGTGTGTCATCTGTTGAAATTATTCTAATCTGTGTATGTAGAAAAAATAACGCTGAAAATCGATCAGCCACTAAAAATCATCATGAACCATAAAATCAAAAAAACGCCTCGCAAAACAATGCGCCTGTTTCAATGTGACAGTGGTGTAAGTAGAAGCTCTTACAGATGAAACGGCTGTTAAAGTCAGAAGCCAGAATATGAGCTGCAATTTCTCCGGTATGCCAATGCCCTTGGAGATTTAGGAGAAGAAGGACGAACTTCGCTTCCTCATTGAAGCAATTCAGCTCAAATCTTTCTTTTGAGGGCACCTAAAGCGCTGGTGCTATAGATGCAGAAGCCGCATTTGACCCAATTTTCCAGTTGATAGGACAATTGCATTTGAAATAAAGCTGCTCTATTAGGAGTCAGCTCCTGTCACATGCGCCAGATGTTTTTAAATAAACAGATATGGTTTCAAATAATTGTTATGAGTGTTACAAGGATGATTGGGTTCGACTTGGGTCATAGGATCTGTGAGCCTATGGCTTTGGCCATACTTTACCCGTGTTACTCGTCTTACTCACCAGCCAGTGATATTGCGTTTAAAAACGAAAGAGTATTATAATCATTTCACAATTTGACAGCAATAAAAGCGGCAACACTAGAACTAACACGGGTAACAATTAGCAACACCGGCAACACCGGTAACACGGATAAAGTATAGCCAAAGCCTATGAGTAAAGGCAGACAACAGCATTTTACGCAGTCATACTAAAAGATTATTGATTTATAAGCTTTCAGCAAAAACGACCAATTCTTTTTATTACCTTTTCCAGCTTTTCCACATGATCACTGGATACGGCATTGCCAAAACATTGGACCGAATACATTACTTGCCATTTCAAGAGCCAAGAAAATACGTTGAAGAGCAGCTGGTGAAACTAGAAAGGATTTTTCCGCGACTGAAGCAAACTTATGCTTTAGCAGAAGTAAGCTACTACTTTATTGAAAATGTCCGCTTGTTACTTAAGGTTGTTGCATTTATGCGTTTATATTTGTAATCAGTTAAGGCAACAAACTAAGTGAAATTTTGTCAGAATGGAACCGAAGAGAAACGAGTGCATTTTGCTGGGTCCTGCTGTTCGTACGATGATCCAAGAAGGTCTGGCTTTGCTGGCCATGGCCTCGTAATCTATCAATTTTACAAATTACCAATGTGTGTTTCAGGCTTCGCAATGTCACTGACCAGTTTCTATTGTTGCAATTCTACTACGGACAAAATCCAAGATATTTTGAGAGTTATCTTGAAGACGTGCGTGACATTCTACAGTTTTCAGAGGAAGTGATACGAAATGGAACTGAGAAACTCCAAACTCTCAAAAGGTTTTTTTTAACAAAAAGCCATTTACGCGCATTAAAGTCATTGATTCAGCCATTCTAAGTCGATGTGCATACACGTGCGTAGGGGCGATTTTATCGTGAGAAACATAGCTACTGATTTCAATATCACTATAAAAGCTGCCAATTCTATTGCTAGGAAGAAGGTAATTACTGCGGGTTTTTACGACTTTCGCAAACGTTTCTTTCGTAGAACTTGTCGCGATTCTTGATATTTGGAGACGATCAGCAATTCATGGCCGATATGTCGCAAGCCATTATAAAACAAGGCGCTTGGAGAAATGATGTAAATCACTTTTTAGACTTCAATGAGTCGTTTTCTAATGTCTGTACATTCCAGGCAGTGGTTGCTTCAAATTTTGAAGAGTACATGGATTTGTACGTGGCATCTCAGATATGTAGCTCATTTTTGATCGCTGCAGTCACCTCTACCTTCGGATGGTGGCTTGCGTTCTTCGTACAAGATCAAAATGCCGTGTATTATTTGGATGACACCAGACCACACGCTGACAAAGTGCCAAGCAAGGAACTATTTTTGTAAGTTATTGCTTAAGGTCAGCAAGACTGCGTAGACCCCTCTGTTCGAGATCTTGTTGAAGCGTGCAAGTAATGCTCCTATGTTAACTTGTTCACAAAGTGATGAAAGCATTTAAAACACTGCTTTTTAGCGCTGCTCAAAACTAATGCATATTTTTAGAATTTTTCAAGCGGCTCTACCACGCAAGAACGTCGTTTAGCTTGCTTCTTCTCTCAAACACGGTATTTGCCTTTCTTAAAGCTATTAGGTTGGTGCAAAAGTAATGCGCGTTTTGCGAGTTCTCACTTTGACGTGCTATAACTTTCTAAAAAACCATATTTTTCAGCGCGGCAAAGTCTCCCAGGGGCATCAAACCTCTCTCTATACAGCGCACATTAATTTGTGCTAACATCGCAAAACGGTGAAAAAATATGGATTGATAAGCAAAAAATTTTTTTTCGGAAACCTGATTTTTAACTGATCATAACTTCCTCCAAGATTTGTTGGTATAAATGAAAAGCTGACTGTCTTGTAGCTGCAAGCCAGTAGTACAAATAAAAGTTGAAAGCGGCTCAAACAAAGAAGATTGGCGAGAAGAAAAAAATAATATATAAAATTGTCCGCTTTTTTCGACATTTTTCCGTAGCCCTCAAAATCCCAAAATATGGAGATTTTTGATTTTCCATGAACTGAACAGCTTCCACATTTCTGCAAAAACTGTCAACAAGAGGCCCACTCTTACGCTTACAGGAATGAGCAAAACTTTGGCGATTGCCCTCTTCAAAGGAAATCTATGGGCCACAGAATGGTCAAAATCATCACTCATGTTGGGGCACCGAAATCTCAGTCTAAAGAATTTCTGAGAAAACAGCAAAGCATGCACAAAGTAGAAAATTTTTACTACATACAGTAGTTAAATTTTTAGAAGAATGCGTTTACTCGCGCTCAAATTCTGGCCAAAAAAGTAAGTGCAATGAAATTCTGGTTTCGAGTGCGGTTGTATGAAGCTCTACAAATTTTTAACGATTGAGGCTAGAAGCTTCTTTCAACCACCATTAAATAGAGCATGAAAGAAGCTTTTTCAAAGTATGCTGGGTAAGTTTCATAGGAGAAACTTCGATGGAGAAAAGCTGTCTTGAAATAAGGGCTAGAAAAGTCTGCTCTAAGGCTTAAAGCATACCCTACGCGATTTTAGTCGTGCGCGATCTGGCAATGCAACAACTCTTCATGGTGGTAAGCGCTTCTTGCTTGGGTTAAGTCAGGTTTGTGTTTGCAACTTACAAAAGCTGCGCGTCTATGCATTTGAGAAGCACGAATGTGTAGCTATCTGGAAAATTGCCAAATCGCATGGACTTATCGATTTGAGGGAATCGCGGGAAAAATGCCCTAAGCCTAGAACACCTTGGTACAGCACAATGAGATAGAGTGCGAAGCGCCATAAATGCCATTTCGCAAAAATTGTATGGTGACGAATACCGTGTTTCTCTGGCAATCCATCAGTTTATCTAAGGAAAAAAACTGACAGATGCGTATCCTAGAGTAGATAGGGAGGATACGTGGTGATTAATGCGGATTTTCATGACTAGAGAGTTTGCCAAAAAACTCCATCCGCTTCATCCACTTCGGTTCCTCAGTTCAATGAACTGACCGACTGCAGTAATGAAATGATGAAGATTTCCAGCGGATACCAAGCATGGCGCGTGCCTAACGTTTGTTTCTCACTTTTTTAAAAATTCAACACAATGTTGCACAACTTCTGTTACAGGAAAACATGGCAAGTCTACACTGAGTAGCCTATCAAGTATTGTAATGTATCGTGCTGCGAACGCATAATATATGCACATATCTTGCCATTCGATCTTACTGCACAAAGCCAAGTCTAATCGCTGTCTGTCTTATATGGTCACTGTTAGAATCTAAAGGCAAACCGTGTTCACTACAATTTTTTTAACATGTTTCTTCAATTTTCAAATTCATTCTTTCTTTCTTGTTGATTTTACTTCATCTCAGTTATGGATTGTGTCCACTGTTTATAAGTTTTCATTCCAAATCTAGTCGCTGTGTTCTTATTCGGTCACTGGTAGAATCTGGAGGTAGACAGTGTTCACTTCACTTCAATTTTTGTTCAACATGTTCCTTCAATTTTCGAAATCAATCTTTCTTTCTTGTTGATTTTACTTTATCTCATTCATGGACTGTGTTAACAGTTTATAAGTTTTCATGCACAAAAGTGTCTTAGTCTTTTTGCTGACTTGATAAACACGAATGTATGCAGGGTGATCTAAGCCTCTGAGGCTATCCACACAACAGTGGCGTACCGAGGGGAGGGGGGGTCGCGAAATTTTTGATTACTTACATGAGTTATAAAAATGTGCAAGTGACTTGTTTATTTTTGTAAACAATTAAGATAATTTTTAAAAATTTTTTGAAAATTCAAATTAGCCTTATAAAAAATTTTTTTCGGGGGCGTGGTTGACGCCACGCCCCCTTTTTCCAGATTTTAGGGGTTGTTGGCCCGTAAAAATTTTGAGAAGCCCCCTAAAATTTTTTCGGAGTGCGTGACCAACGCCATGCACCTCCATTTTGAAAAAATTTTAGCCGCTCCCCCCCTCCCCGAGCCGAATTCTGAGTACGCCACTGCCACACAATGGTATTTATACATCTTATATATAAAGCTGAATGTCTGTTTGTATGTCTGTCTGTCTGTCTGTATGTGTGTACGTATGTTCCGAATAGAAAATTCCATTTCTGAACCGATCCGGACCAAACTTGGCACACATACGCTACGGGCCCCGGCGGGTGTCATAGGCTACTTTTCGTCATCGATCGATATCGATTTTATCGATTTTTATCGATTTTTTTGCTGAGTTCACCTACGGGGCTGGGAGTTGGCACAGGGGGGGTAATCGAGCATGGGGATTCCGAATACAATATTGGTTTTCAGGATTATCGATTACTTTTATCGATTTTATCGATTTTTTGCAAAGTTTGAGCTACGGGGCTGGGAGTTCGCACAGGGGGGTAATCGAGCATGGGGATTCCGAATACAATATTGGTTTTCGGGATTATCGATTACTTTTATCGATTTTATCGATTTTTTGAAAATTTGAGCTAGGGGGCTGGAATTTGGCACAGGGGTGTAATCGAGCATGGGGATTCCGAATACAATATTGGTTTTCGGGATTATCGATTACTTTTATCGATTTTATCGATTTTTTGAAAATTTGAGCTAGGGGGCTGGAATTTGGCACAGGGGTGTAATCGAGCATGCTGATCACCCCCCTTGGGGATGATCAGCATGCTCGATTACCCCCCTGTGCTAAATTCCAGCCCCCTAGCTCAAATTTTCAAAAAATCGATAAAATCGATAAAAGTAATGGACGATCTTGAAAACTAATATTGTAATCGTAATCTGCATGCTCGATTACCCCCTGTGCAAACTCCCAGCCCCGCAGGTCAAAATTTACAAAAAATCGATAAAATCAATAAAAGTAATCGATAATTCTGAAAACTAATATTGTATTCGGAATCCCCATGCTCACTTCCCCCCTGTGCAAACTCCTAGCCCTGTAGGTGAACTCTGCAAAAAAATCGATAAAAATCGGTAAAATCGACATCGATCGATAACGAAAAGTGGACTGTGACATCCGCCGGGGCCCGAAGTGTATGTGTGCCAAGTTTGGTCCGGATACGGCGGAGCCGGGTAAGCCAGCTAGTTGTTTATAAGGGGCATTTTTACAACAAGTATAAAGTCGCATAGATGCATTCAAAACAAATGACTTTGCATGTTAGGGAATTTGTAGGAAATGGTTGCAGGCTGCAGATATTACAAATGAATATATCAACAGGCAACTCTTGCGTCCGATTACCACTTTCGCCGTCTGCGCGCGCTCGCGCAACCTCATCTCGTGAATTTCCCCGACCGATGCTCGGTGACACAGCCTGGTGTTTCACTACACTGCTTAGCATCTTGTCAAGCTTTGCCCATCCATCTTCGCTGTGGATGAAGCATTTATAAACCTTCATTGTGGTTGAAATGTTCAAAAACTACTATTGCAAGAAAGAGAGCCAACCTTCAGGGACTGAAGAAACCGTACGAGTAGTACGTGCACAACCAGATGGTCTCAAACCAGTGCATTGAGTTATATAATTTAGGCGAATGTGAAAATAATTATATGAAAATTTTACCAATTAATCTGGCTGCGGCAAAAAAAAATTTCACAATTTTCGAACGAGTCTAGTTACAAAGAAATGACTAGGAGCTTAACAGTGGCGTATCCAGAATTTCCGTTCGGGGGAGGGGCGACATACACTTTTTCTGTTGAAGGTGCACGACGACGGTAATGCAGTCCGAGAAATTTTTTTATTATGCTTTATTATGCAAAATTTTTGTTGGCCCTAACCGCGCAATTTTGAAAAGGCGTGGGGCTAGCCACGCTCCCGAAATAATTCTTCTTATAAGGCTAATTCGAATTTTTGGAGAATTTGGAATATTATCTCAAATATTTACAAGTATAAACATGACTTGCACATTTTTGTAACTCATGTAAGTTTTCAAAAACTTCGCCATTCGACCCAATCTCCCCCCTCCCCTCCCAACTCCCTCTGTACGCTACTGGAGCCTAGATATTCACTCACAAGGGGGGAATGGTCAAACTTCGAAGTTGCCAATTACAGAAAGCCCTATCCCATTAAACACTTCATGGAAGGCTGATTATATATCCGCCTTTATATCTGCTTAACGGTCTTCTGCACATGGTTACAGGCCTCAGTTACCTCGTGGGATGGCCACTTAATAAGTAGGTGTCGCCCACGTTAACAAGTTGGACGCATGGCGAAGTATGGGTGCATGTTGATAGGGCACGCCCTGACTTCGCTTGTAAGTTCGATTCCTTTCGCTTGCTACCCTTTTGCATCCCATCCCCAGGAACTATATTGTTAGCGCGATGTCACTAGCGCGGTTAAAAGGTAGCTCAACAACTGAGAATGACTGGGTGAAAGCAAAAACGAAAATGTTGATGAATAATGAGTAATGCAAAAACGAACAGAAGCGAGCAGCAAGAAAGATGAAGCTGAAAGATAGACAGAAACTTCGGATTGACGCGATAGATTCTTTCGCTTGAGCGCGCTTCAAAAAGGAAATCTCTAGAAAATGTGCTAACCCGACCGATATACTCGCAATGTTCACGGTGAAGTATGGTCTTGTCACATATAGTAAAGGAGTTTGGACACTCTGAATTGTGTTTTGATATTTCTTATGCCGCACAGGTTGGTATGGTGGATCTTTATCGACCTAACGTTTCGAACAACTCGTCTTCGTCAAAGGTCTGAAAAGGATTGTAGTTTACATACCCGTTGTACTGTGCGCCAAACATCTCGTCTGAGTCCGCTTCGCTTGACGTTTTCTCAGACGCAACGTATCAAACGAGAGCAAACGAACCTTCGGTCCCCCAAAGAGTTAGTAGTCCGCACTAGATCAGTGTGACGGACATCACTGAGCGTGCCCAATGAGTCCTGCTACTTATAGTGTGCGGTAGGGAGCTCACACAACGATATCAATGGTAGTAAATCACTCGTTATCGTCAGACATTCATTTCTGTTGTTCATACTCGGATTACGAGAGTATATCCACGCCGCTTCAAGGGTCTTTCGTGCTAGAATGTCAGTCTCAAACGCTAGGACGACACATTTAACGCTAAGATCATTGCCGCCGTGCTCTTCAAATTTATGCTTGCCTAACGGAGACAATAGATTTCCTCGCCTCATGTTGGCCTAATGCTCGCTCACTCTAGTACCTAGAGGTCTACCTGTCTCTCCAATGTACGCTGTTCTGCAACTCAAGCATTCAAGCATTGCTATATCGTAACCACAACACAATCCGAAATGGATGAGTGTTTTCGAATTTTGAATCAGCAATCACAGTACATCCGGCTTACACGTGAAACAGCTCGCGGTGGATGGCTTTCTTTTCTGAATACACAGGTCAGCTTATGTGACAATACCGTTCGCGTAAAATGGTACAGAAAGGAAAGCTCTAGAACATCCTCTTACACGCTACGTCAGCTCATCCCTCAGCAGTTAAACATGCTGTTATACATAACATGTTCAAAACCGCTACCGAAATGTGTAGGCGATGACGAGCGACGCGAATCACGACAATTGGCGGCTGACATTGCACTCAGTAATGGCTATATGCTTGGAACAGGACGATCACGTAAATGACAGTCTAGGCTGTTGTGATTGTGTTAGTCTTACGGAGTGCAACAAGTACAACAAGATTCCTTTGTGCATACCCTTTGTTTCCGATAGAATCAGCGAGGCCATAAGACAATGCATTCTGCGAGCACAGCTGCAAAATGAAGTCATGCTTATTGGCATTCCTAGCGATAATATTGAAAGGCGGTTGGTCAGAAACAGAGTTTACGATGTTGAATGTGTATCAAAAAACTGCATAGTCTGTCCTTATGAGAAAATTGGGGATTGCGCCAAATCCGGAACTGTCTACCAATTAGAATGCTTGAGTTGTAGAACGGCGTACATTGGAGGGACGGGTAGACCTCTAAGTATTAGAGTGAGCGAGCATTTGGCCAACTTGAGGCGAGGAAATCTATTGTCTCCGTTAGGCAAGCATAAATTCGAAGAGCACGGCGGCAATGATTTTAGCGTTAAATGTGTCGTCCTAACGTTTGAGACTGACATTCTAGCACGAAAGACCCTTGAAGCGGCGTGGATATACTCTCGTAATCCGAGTATGAACATTAGAAATGAATGTCTGACGATAACGAGTGGTCTA